TAGAGAAGGATGTTGCCATTTCAACTTGACTCACCCTTTTGTGGGCAGGGTAGAATTTTGAGAACCCTTTGGTGACCCTCGGGTGGGTAAAATTTAGAGAAGGGTGTTGCCATTTCAACTTGACTCACCCTTTTGTGGGCAGGGTAAACTTTAGAGAAGGAAGTGGTCACTCCGACTTGACTCACCCGTTTGTGGGCCATGCAGAGCTAAAGTTTAGAGAGGAAAGTGGCCATGCCAAGTTGACTCACCCTTTTGTGGGCCATGCAGGGGGAAATTTAGAGAAGGATGTTGCCATTTCAACTTGACTCACCCTTTTGTGAGCCATGCAGGGGTAAAATTTAGAGAAGGATGTTGCTCTTCCAAGTTGACTCACCCTTTGGTGAGCCACCCGAGGGTAGAATTTAGAGAAGGATGTTGCCATTTCAACTTGACTCACCCTTTTGTGGGCAAGGCAGGGGTAAAATTTAGAGAAGGAAGTGGTCATTCCAAGTTGACTCACCCTTTGGTGAGCCACCCGAGGGTAAAATTTAGAGAAGGATGTTGCCATTTCAACTTGACTCACCCTTTTGTGGGGAGGGGTACAATTTAGAGGAGGAAGTGGCCATTCCATCTTGACGACCCTTTTAAGTGAGCAAACATGCGGGAAAGGGCCTGTGTGCGCACTTGAGTCTCCCCGATGGACTGTGTGCGCGCATGAGTCAAATCTGTGTGCGCGGATGAGGCGCAAGTGCTAACAAAATGTGTGTGCGCAGATGAGTCAAATCTGTGTGCGCAGATGAGCCGCCGCCCTTCCAATAAAGCCCCGCAACAATTACATTCTTCACTAAGCCCCGCGACAATTACATTCTCCACTAAAGCCCCGCGACAATTACATTTTCCAATAAAGCCCCGCGACAATTACATTCGTTAGCATAAAAATAAAAGCCCTCAGCATAAAAATAGAAACCCTCAGCATAAAAATAAAAACCCTCAGCATAAAAAAAGACCGTTAGCTTAAAAAATAGAACCCACCCAAATCCAGCATAAAAAACAAGAACCGTTAGCATAAAGAAAAAAACTATTCCCATGACTTACTATCTGTGCCCTGGTACTGGATGCTACTGGTAAGCATCCCCAAAGCATCCCAATGTGCTCAACTTTCAAAGGGTGTTCATCTGCCGAATCCTCGGCTTGCGCCGCGCGAGCCGCCTTTTCGGTACCCTGAGGCCTTTTGCGGTCACCACCGTTGGAAGGGTCTGAACTCATCCCAAAGAACGGTTATATAATGGTTGTTTCATGTTGTTTACATGCCTATGCTTAGGATTTTAGATAACTAACCAGGTGAAGTCAAGCACTTGTTTAATGGTCCAACACCAGGCTAAAGGGCTGGGAGGGAAGAGTGGCAGAGCATCAGTACAGGAACAGGGCACTGGGAACGTTGCAGTCGAAGATAGGCTTGTCCAGTGATGGAGCGATGTGCTTGCTACGAAGTGACAAACATGACACCCCAGTTCAATCAGCGCTTGTAGAGCATTACTGTGCATGTTCCATTTCTTGTGCATGGTTGGTTCTTGCATTACAGCCTTGTAACCATACCAGTAACCTCGAGTCCGCGTGCCCAAGTATTGATAGCTGGATCTACTGGAATTTGGTTTTGATCGCTGGACCCACGTCGACTTTCTCAATGCACTGTGCTTGGAACTTCTTCGCGGCCGTTCCACGCCGTTCCACCGTCGTAACCGCGGCATGGACGAGGTTGGAGTCGAGACGAGGCCGTGCAGCACTCCTGCTACGCTGCGGTGCCCCGGGGTTGTGACGCGTGTGACGACGCGTGTGTGACGAGGCCGTGCCCCTTAAGTACTTGGGGGAGACAGATTCGATCCCACAAAAAAGGCATGTGGGAATTAGAAGTGGAAGTTTGATTTGTTTGGACATCCGGCGGGTTTGCTCGTGTAATTAGAGCTTGGTCCATCAATGGTTCAATATAAACAATTCATTGTGCTTGGAAACAAACCTGTGAGCAGAATCAATTTTGGAAATCGGAGCTTTTTGGTGACATGATAAACACAGATCTTGAACCATGGGGCAAAAAAAAACTTAAATAATTCAGTTTATAATTGTGGTTTAAAGCCTCTGCCAACTCAAGAAAGGTTTCAGCAGGTATGCCAATCTTCCGTTTTGCATGTGCAAGGTGGTATACTTCTTTGCATGACTGTCAATCCAATGTGGATGCCAAGGAACAAGGGGAATCCTATGGTTCCTTTGAGGTCAGAAAAGGGTCTCCAAGATGAGACGGGTTTTATGGCAAGATGCCACTAAGATTGTCCCTGGGCAGAACCGAACGCGTTTGTCTCACCATATGGCATATTATATGTGGTATCTTCCATGAATGTTTTTTTTTTTTTTTTCCGGCATGTCACATCACAGTGTTCAAAACAAAGCCATCCTAGAACACGAACCAGACACGGAAATGCCGCCTGCGGTGGAATCATGGGCATGCGATGCCCCAACCACCACCTGCACCTCAAAGCATCCGGACGGGGACGTTGCCGTTGCCATACATGTATCCCAGTTATGACCCATCCATGTAGGGAACTCCAAAGGACCAAATATATACAGGACTTGTAGGTAACATGCATGGTACCAATAGTAACTTAATCCAATGGGTAACAATAGTAACTGATGGTCCAAGAGCCATACATGCAGGTAACTCTTTCATAAGTCTTGGATTGAGTTTGGATTGGGAGGTTGGGCTCCAGGAGCCCAGTCTTGAGGTCCAGTCATACCCTAAGTCTTGGATTGGTTTTGGGATACTGCCTTGAAAGTGACTGCAGCCTGCCTTGAGTCTTGCCAGCTTGCCATGTCTTCAGGCTCCCAGTGCTACATGCTCCAGCACCTACCCACGGAACAACTACCAGGTGCGGTGTGGTCTTCCTGACCAAAGCATTTAATGGGGGAATATACTGACCAAAGCAGAAATGCTCGAAGATGGTTCTAGTCACTATAGTCAAAAGTCTAAGTGCTCCTATTCGCCTGGACGGTCAATGAGAAGGGGTGTTCAGACCTTCGAATGCTGCCCCTATCCTCCAAAACCAAATGGGCTGGGCCTCTTAGAACGACAGTTATCAGATCATTCGCCGAACCCGTTTGTGGAACCCTGGCCGCGTACTTGGAGAGGCGCACTGTTGAGAAGCGCACGGTAGTACGTTGGTCACAAGTCTTGGAATGTCTTGGCAAAAGGCAGGTTTGGGCCAAGAACGCACACTGTTCTGTTTGATTCTGTTTGGTTCAAGTTGTCACCTTCGATTCCGGTGCGTTGTTTGGATGCAATCCTGGGAAGCCCAAGCGTGGAAAAGCTTGAGAGGGTCTGCCGATCTGCACTTCTGAGGATGTAGTTCGATGCATCGAGTATACATGTTCTTTATTTTTGTGAGATCTGCGTACATGCTTTGGTTGACATGCTCATGATCATCAAGGCACAAGAGATGTGTCAAAATATTGAACATCCTCAATTTCACATCGGTATTGCTCCACTAAATGCCTGGCACGAGAAAAATGTATATGCTCCAGACATTTAGCTTATCCCTCACAGTCTTTTGAGTGAACAGTTATTTTAGCCATAACTCAAAAATTACGGGAGTGGCACCTGGCACGCAGAAGCCATTTGGAGGTCCTCTTATTTGCCTACTTGAATGTATTTAAAGACTACCACATCTGGCTTCTTTGTAGCAAATGCCCTGCACAAGCCCTTGTTCACAGAGCCTCCAATGCACCCATTGAAGAAGCGGGTGAAAAGGGTAGATTGCCGCTGTATACGAATGGGAACCACCCTAGCACCTGAATTCAGGACGTATAAAGCAACAGCTTCAGCGATCTTAACAAGGAGAACAAGAACACGTTAAAACTCTGGGGGTGTTGAGAAGGAGATTCATACACCACAGGGACATGCATTGAACCTACAACAGTGAAAGTGACGGATACATGACAGAAACGGACTCTAAAAGAGACAAGACCCTACAACAAAGTGTTGCAACCGATCTTTGAACCTCCGGCCACCGACTGCCCCTCCCTGCCCGAGCTCAGAGCTCAGAGCTCACTTTTACAGCGATCTCCGAGTCTCAACAGGGTCGATGTCAGAGGATCAGACCCTTCAAACATCGCTCCTCTTTGGGGAGGTGGGGAGTCCTGGAAAGACCATGGCAAACTCCATGGAGATGGGGGAGATGGGATGAAACCGAGGTCTAGACACCCCAGACGTCCGGACTCCTCCCCCACGCGCGCGGCACGGACCCACGGAGGCTCAGAGCTATGTCGACACCGCCTTTGGCGGCACACCGCCCGGTACGGTGACCAACGCCGGCGGATTGCCCGGCGGGTCGGGGCGCCCCGGTTTCCCGGACGCGATCGAGCCGGTTGGCGACGGGCGAGTGCGCGTTCGCAACGGTCATGGTGGGTGGCCGGGGGTGCAGACGGGTCACCCGAGGTGGGAGGGTCCAACGTTTGTCTGGAGGTATCACTGAGCTCCAGGAGGTGACCTCCTCAGGAGAAGGTATGGGACCTGCAACCCTGGTTCGGGTGTTCGGGGCTTTTCTGGTGCGGACACCGGCGTCCTGACCATTTTGGCGTGGCCACGGCGACGTGATTTTCAAAGCAGATCCTGTCTCTGGAGAATGAAACAGCTCTGTGAGCAGTGTCAATTTGCCAGGCGCTCGCAGGTGGGCTAATTCAGCACTCGCAGCGTATATTCCCCGCCACAGGTTTTGAAACGCAACAGTTTTAGACAGGAGACTGCCCCCCTTTGCTTTAAATTTGTTTACCTCTCAATCTATACAGGGTTGCAGCTAACTTCTACCTGGATGACAAAGATAAGTGAGTGTATATATCTCACTTTTTGGCGGCGTCCTGTGCGTCCTCACACTGGAGACCGCCACCATGCATGTCAACTTGCTTCAACAAATGTTGTCCTGATCCTTTGTGAGCCATTGTTGTTGCACTCAACCAGATGTTTGCCAAGACGAGATAAGACGAGCCAGGCTCCATCATCTATGATTCGGTTGCCTTTTGGGGCTTATACCATGTTGAAAGTCCTATCATGTCCTATATATAATTTTCAGCATTCATCACCAATGAGTCTCTCTTAGAAAAAATAAACGACTTTGGTGGGTTTATGCTGTTTTTGAGCCTGTAAGAGCTGTTCGTAAAACCGCCCATCCGTCGAGTTCCTGCCACCTGCCAGGAAGATTCTGCATGTGTGGAGCTCAAATCGGATGGGTGTACCGAACGGTCGGACGGTGTATCCGCGGAATGTGTCACTTGTGTTTGTTTTTTTTTGTGGGTGGTTGAAGCCTGTCACAGTGGGGGGGATGTTCTTTTTGAGAGCTCGTTCACTGTGAGCGTGCGGCATTTTTTGAAAGACGTTTGCAGAGCATGGATTTCGTTGACGCGAACGTTGTGAAGTTGTGATCCTTACAAAGCAACGACATGGAGCAACCTTTTGTAATATGAAGATTCAGGATTCAGGATCCTCCTTAATGGAAGAAACCGTGCTGAAGTCTTTGGTATGGCGCTATCAAATTCACAGATGCTGCTCCCGACAAGACGACGGAGATCCACCTGAAGATTGCAAGTGAACTCTCTCCTCCGGTGATCGAATCTTCGTCTTGGATGTGAACGCTTGAGTCCCTCTTTGGATTGGTGTGCAGAAAGTCATGGGGATCCAGTTACCAGGCGTCCGGCCAGACGTCCGCCAGACGCTTGAAGGAATCATGTCATGCATGGCGTGCTGAAGACCCAGGACTTCACTGGTCAGTTGAATCCTGTGGGTGAGATGACTCTGACATTCCGACACAGAAAATCCCAGGTCAAGGATCTCTCCGTCGCAGCCGGAGGCTTTTGGCCTTGGTGGTGAGAAAGTGGAATGAGCTGTGCAAATCTGAGAAGATCAAGAGGATTATGCATGAGATGGGGAAGAAACCGTTGCAATAGGAGCATAGAATGAAGCGATTGGTGAAATGAAAGGGAGGGAAGACAGGTCAGAAAGGAGGTTCGTCAGTGTTGAGGCAAGACAGGCACCCCAAGAAGGTGGATCCAACTACTTGGGGAGGAGGTTGGTGTCCATTCTGTTTTGAAGATGGGCTCTAGAGGTTCTCGAATATTGAATAAGTATGGAGGACGCGAACCAAACTTCATTGGTGGGGTTTGTGATTGTTCCTACCTTGACATTGTTCAAAACCTGGGGACCTGGGGACCTGGAGTAGTTGAAAAGAGTTCAGTCTGGAGTGCTACAGCACTCCAAATCCGCAACGAGTTTGGGAAAACTGTTGGACCTCCACCAGGCCCAAGAATGTCCACCACCAGTCAAGCCCAAGCTGCACATCCAAGGGATCCACATCCATCCAGCTGAGCGCCGGACAGCACGTGCCGCACGTGCCTTGCACAGCACAGGTCCGCACACCGGACACCACGGCGCCGGTGATCGTCTTCGTGGAAGCGGTGGGGCTCCTTAGCACCGGATCTGCTTGGCTCTTCGGATCTGGTTTGCTGCTTATGTGGGTCTCGAAGGGGTTGAACTAGGGGGAGGCTTCCCTGTTCAAGCACCAGACACAAGACACCCTGTGAGAGGCAGCAGTAGGAAGATTCTCTACACCCAAACCAGAGTGAGAGTACTTCCTGGAGTCTTCCAATATCTTCCAATCACAGCGATGTCGCCCAACGAAAAGTGGTCTCCCACCGGAGCGGTCTCGTCAATAAAGCACCCGCCACCAGCAGGATCGTTCTCCGTCTCCTGTGCAGTGTTGTATTACTCAAGAGTCAAGAGTCAACATGAAGATGATTTGATGATTTGATCGTATATGTGAGCATGGAAACCCTTTAACACCCATAAACATTCAAGGATAACCACATATTGGAGTCCACATTCTTCGCGGCACTAGACTGGAATTCTCGGCATACATGTTGTGTTTGAGTTTGGTTTGTTCTTTTCTCCTACCACACTCCCCAGGAAGCGCCAAGAAACATACCTGGATCTTCCACCTATGCAATATCTTTGCCAAACTCCGCTGCTTTTCATGGACGGGCGTAAAGTCTTGCGCAATAGGAAGATCCAGGTAGATCCTTCAACTGTGGAACACGCTTTGTTTTGTTTGTACAATCACATCTGCTCGAAACACCCCACAGGAAGTAATATATCGCCCGTGTCATGGTGGACCTTCAAAGCTTCCAAACACACGCAGCTTCATCTGAGACACCCGGTCCTTAACACCCCTACATCTGAGGGTCCCAAAACCATGTCATTTGACCTCCATGTCTAGTTCTGGCAGCTGGGGTGTAGACTCTTCCATACTATTTCAGCAAAAGTAGGTCATTTCCAAGTCTAAGAAAGGTTTTCTCAATCCACAACACACTGGTAGGTCATGTTTGGGGGGGTCTCCAACGTCAAAGTTTCTTCAGCAAACCACACTTGTTTGAACCCTTCTCTCACCTGAAAAAAATAGCTTCTTCGGCCGACTTCGGTCCTTCTTTCCTCGGCTCCAAAGCCAGCGCCGCCAAAGCGCCTGGCGCCCGGCTTAATCTCAGACCGACGGCCGACACCGCCGGGCTCGCGGGCCTTCTCGTCTGGTCAGGAGTCGACGGAAGAGTCCTCCATCACCGTGACCTTGCAGCTGGATGAGCCGGGCACCGCGTGACCCGCCGACGGGCGCGGACTGGCGGGAGCCGGCGGGGGGCCAACGGGGGTCGAGGTCGGTAGTCCCGGCGGGATGCGGTGGGGAGGGAAGGAAGGAAGAATTAGAGCACAGGTCACATACATAGTATAGACACAATTGTTCAAAAGCTGCTATTGTTTACAGTAACTTAATGTAATTGATTATAAATGAGTATCCTTTTGGCGTTCTTTGGCGAGAAAAGCTTAGCAGTTTTCTAGGCGCAGATAGCGTTTTGCTGCGTCATAGGTGCAAGATGCGCAGTAGAAAACGCAAGTTTTCATACATGCGCAGTGTAGTATGGTGTAGTATGGTGTAGTAGTATTTTTGAGATGCAAATTTGACAGACCCAACGGTCAATACAGTACAGCTTTGGTCTATCCAATTGGCAGAGTTCTTTGCCACCGGGCATCGTGCCACTGATGTTGTTCTTCCAATAGTATTCCCCGTCATGGCTTCAGAGGTTCCTGTCCGCATCGCATGAAGTTCCCGCACGCAGTTTGGATGAATTGGTGACTTTCCAGGAGGTCTTTGGAGGTGTTGGCAGGAATGGTTCAGTTCTTTGGTGGGATCCTGGGTTTTGCAGATAGAACCGTGATGATCCGGCGGTTGATTTTCGGTTTCTTGGGTGAAACTGTTACATGTTTTCGCAGATTTTCACAGCTTCCGAGTGAAACAACTCCAAGGATTGGTTTCCCCATGAATGGAAAACAGTTCATTAGCATTCTTTTTCAAGGGAAACTGAAACTGAGGGAATCAGCTCAGGGTTCCTCTTGATCCAAGAGGGTGTTCTTCCGCGGTCACGCCACGCCGTGCTGTCTTTTGGAAGAGTCGACCAAGAGGCTTCCTCGTGCCCTTCGGAACATGAAACGCATCATTTGCCGCAGAAAAGAGTTGATCCCCATGCCAATATATTTAAAATATGGGGAGGGTCCACCATCCATATTTGGTTTTATGCCCCCTACCCAATGGGGTGGTCAGGTCCTCATTTTGCCAAGGGGATAAAAGTTGTGTAGACACCAGCTCTGATCCTTTTGGTTAAATAGGCGGACTGCAGCAGAGTGGGTTCTCACCAAGCCCGATCCGTGTTCAGAACAGGTCGCAGGTTGAGTTTATACATATACAATATTAATATACATAGTATTAATGTATCCCGGAAATTCCAATTGATTGTAAACTTGTCAGACAACAAACATGCATGGAGTCAATGATTATGTCAATCCACATCCTCCATTGATATGGGTTGCTTGGTGACTTGGTGATGTCTTTCCATATTCTTGTTGCATCCCCAATAAACATTTCACGCCTGCCAGCACTGCAGCAGCCAGACCTCTTTTGAAGCTGAAGCTCCACACGGTACGCTTGGGGTGTTCCGTCGTCACGGTGGACGTCGTCCAGGTACTGCAAGGCCTACAGCAGTCTCCAGACCATCGCCGCCGCCCTTTACACCGACCTCACCACTACGGTGCGCGGACGGACACGGAGACGGTGGACCGGTGGATGGATGTGGTGCTTCCCACGTGAGGAAGGCGGAATGCCTGGGCCTGGGCTGTGTGATTTTCTGCTGTTCAGAAGCGGTTCAGACCGTCCAAATGGGCATTCCAAGCGGAGGGTGTCATGAGGTGAACCTGCGGAGGATGTGCGGATGCCATGCGGGTTCAATCCGTGTTCCAAGGTCGCTTCGTGCAAGGGTTACACACATTATGGTATTCTCAAGTCATCGGAACTCTGTGTGTAACCTTTGGAGTCACAAGGTTCCTGTTGCATTGTTAGGTTTGATTGCCAGTATAAGCAGGGGGCGCAGCAGATGCAAGGGACTGCGCCTAACAAAGCTACCTTGCATCTGGGAAGCCAGGTCTGATCAACCTGGTGTACCTGCTTTTGAGAACCTAAGTATGGCAAAAGCTGTTCCATACGTTGTTTCTGCACTTCGTGTCTTTGCGATTAAAGGGCTAATGCCGCGGCAAGTCATTTCGGTTTTGCTTTGGAGGCATTGGAGGTTTCGTGGGGTCACTCAGTTTTGTAACTCACCTGATCCCTTAGGCGCTTGGTTACCTAGGTCGCCGTGTGGCGAGTGGCATTCACTTCCGCACGCGTAATCTCAAATGTGTGTGTGTGTGGAACCCTTGGAGTCACAGGGGGCCTTTTTGGTCTTTTAAATGGCGGGGGCTGTCGTGGACTATACAACAACGTGAGTCTCCATGACGGACAGATGAACACGGTGGTCACAATGATCCATCGAATGACCCTGACTCTTCCGCACATCGTGGAGAGCCTCTACCGCAAAGAGCACCACGTTGGCTCATCGAATTTTGAATCTGCGTTGGCGGCCAACTACGCGGCCAAGCTATCGGAGGTGACCCACACTTTTTTTGGCAACCCGGTCGAACTGGAACCAGTCGACGCCATGCACTTGCTGGGCTTTGATGTGAACCTCGGCCAACGAACCATCACATATCGGCTTCGTGTGTGTGTGTGTGTCAACTCCTGTGTCGCACGACCACATAACTAACACTAAGTAAGATTCCACTTTGTACAGCAAAGCAGGGGGATGCCCCACACATGTAGAGAGGGCATCTAACAAAGGCTCTTCAGGCTGTGCTGATATCAGCAAGGACGCTTGGTGACGTACCTGCCTCTTGTAAACATGTGTGATGTAAACCATTAACAGGCCGTTGACAGGTCCAGGTTCCAGCGCTTTAAACCAGTATTGCAGTCACTAGAGTGGAAAAATTACAACTGATATAGCTCTTGCGAGCATGGATCTAAGTGTGTGGAATACTTGGAGTCACAGGGCGGAGAGCCTCTACCGCAAAGAGCACCACGTTGGCTCGTCGAATTTTGAATCTTTGTTGGCATCCATGCGGCCAAGTTTCCGAAGGTGACCCTGATCGCGCGCCACCGGGGTCCCAGAGGATGGGTGGCCAACGAAGACCTCTGGGACCGCTGTAAACGCAACCACCAGACTGGCTACCTGTTGTTCTCGCTGTGGTTTGCTTTCGTGGTGGTTCATGTGGTCCCGTTACTAACCGTAGCTTGCGTTTCGTGTTTTGAGTTTTGCTGGCCTCCCTTGTAGCGAGGGCCTCCAACCTTGCTGCGATGGCTTCCACCCTACTAGTGATGGGCCTCTAACCTTGAGAGTCTTGCTGCTGTGAGTTTTGTTTCGCATGAAACTAACCACGGTGATGGGCTCCAACCTGTTGCGATGACCTCCCACCTAGAACCTTGATGTAATGGCCTCCAATCTACTCTGACTTTCTTTACCCTGGTACCATAGGTTTTCACTTGTGCTGGCATGTGGCAAATTGCAAGTCCTTTCCGTACGCAATATCTCGAGTGTGTGTTTGTGTAAAGGTAAGACTTGAAGGATGAAAGGGTTGGGACGTGGATTTGGGGGATCAATCTACCTTTGCAGGGTATTAAAGAACACATTTTTTTCGGTGGTTGCAAAATAGAGGTCACTCATTGTCTAGGTCGGGAAAAGGATTTTCGGCCACATGTGTCCACATATGATTTCCTCTTGCGTGGGTCCGAAGGATGTGGATGATGTGGTAGCTTGACCTACATCTGAAGTGAGTCCAATCCCTTCTCTCCAAGGGCGGTGGGAGATCCTTTTGACCCCTGGGATTTGTACCCGATTCCCTGATTCCCTCTACAATGACCTCGTTTTACTTAACGTGGTCAGACGTGGTCATGCACAAACACTATTTAAGGAGGTAAAAGAACACGTTCTACTGGGTCTTTAGACTTGTAAGAAATGATCCCATCTCAAGTGTGGGTCCATTATCCATTGCATTGGCATTTGCATGGTTGTACCGGTCTTTTGGTATCCACTGCACACTCCAATCACATCCAATGATCCAATCACTCCTGCTCTTCTTGTGCATTGCATGGCTTTCTGACAAGTCGAACAGCAAACCGTGCATCGCAGCCCATCTACTCCAACACCGTCAGCAACTGGCCACTGGGCTGTGCGGGCGTGGACTGGTGTCACCACGTTGGTCCCGAGTGCAACATAGAACATGTGTAGACGTTTTGATGAGTCATGAAACTATAGATGATATCCTTATATATCCTTAGAATCAATCGAAGCAAGTTCTGGACATTGTGTAGGAAAACAACATCTTCCGCAGGCGATGTGGGCAAACATCGTCCCTCAGTAGAACATCATGTCCAATCCAGGTCCTGGTTGGTTCTGCGCAGTGAGAAACTGCCGTTTTGGCACGTGAGTGGTGAGTGAGTGGAACACAGGAGGTATACCGGCATCTTGGAGAACATATTGCACAGAAACGGCCAAGGGCCATCACCACCTGTGTTTTGTTTACTGAACATGAATGGTTTTTGTCCCTGAGCCAAACAATGTGAGTAGCATCGTTTGGCACAACATGTTGAATCCTTGAATTCTCTCCCCAGCACTTCAATCATTTGAAGTTTTGTCACGGGCCGCCAGTGTTAATAGCGAGGTTTGGGAAGATGGGATCTCTGAGCACTCTTGTTTGGCCAAAGGAGAATCTATCCCTACGGATCCACATACCGAACCTGAGGTACGGTGAGCAGGGAGACCATTGATGGAGGCGACCCAGTCGTACCGAACCTGAGAAGGTGGCAGTGGATCCCTAGGGTATAGGCTCTACCAGCACCAACAGGTCACTGCCTGCTGTCTTAAGTCTCCATTTCAGCCACTCTAGAGGCGATCTGTGCCGAGTCGGGTGCTGGTCGCCGATCGGGAGCCGTCAAAAGCAGCGTGTGGCGCGTTCCTTACGCCCAGTGAGGGTGGCCAACGGCCCGGGTGGGTGCGTCACCTGCTGCCGGACCGTCCGTTTCGACCGACCGAGGAACAACATCTACAAGAACTTCGACATCAAAGTGTCAGGCCTCACCATGGAGACCAAGTGCCCCAGGGGACCAAGCGCACCCCTTCCTGCGGCGAGTGCCTGCCATGCGCAGGAACTAGGGGATGGAGACTCCGCCGTGAGGAACTCCATCTCCACATAGAGAAACCTGTTCAGAACTTTGGTGGTCAACCAGAGTTCCCCGGCTTTGACAGCCAAGTTAGTGAGAAGTCTGAGCCTTTTTTCTGTGAGAAGTCTGAGCAGATGTGTCATTGATTGTTATTGTCATTGTTGAGTTGTTTGTTTAATCCAGCGAACCGATGTACATGCCACGCGAACGGCACAGAAAGAAGGACCGCTTGCTAGCCGGCACAGCGGAGGAAAGACAGGCCGTGCCTTCACACTACCCACCGCATTGATTTGTGATCGGGTACCGCCCCAATGCGATGCTGGATACGGCTGGGTGCCACTCTCAGCATCGAACTGGGCGGAGGTTGGTGACATGGTGACATGGCACAAAGGGATAGATGGGATGGGATGACAGATGACACGGTGTTTGTTTATTTTGTTGGATGGGATGGAATGAAAATGAATGAAATGTTTCTTTGTTTTTTCTCGATGATTCATTTTAGACCCGATTGTAGGTGGAAGAGTTTATGCCCAGTATCACTCCTCAGTGCTGCATACTTTCCAGCACTTTCCCAGAGAGTGATTTGCACCGAAAAGTACATTCAAAGCACACTTCTCAGCACCGGCCACAACCGTTTTTTTTGGTTCCATGATTTCCTCATATTTCCTCACATATGTTGTGGGTAAAAGATGGTAAAAGTAACAAACATTCCCTAGGGCTCCAACCACCTCCTGAGAACATGGTTGGGGTGGATGCCAGGGGGGTCTAACCACCTGAGGAGATGGGCCAGGAGCCGGGATTGTTCAAGAGATTCCATTTCCTGTGCAGTCGCAGCTTCACCCGTCTTTCGCCGCTCTTCTCTCCACTTGCGCATCGGATGCTCCCCGTGCACTGCGAACGAACAGCACCACAGGTACTATGTTTACTGTGCCGCGGAGGACGACGAGTTGGCCGAGGGCGCAGCCACCATCTCGCCGGCACCGACCCAGCGGCGAGCTTGGCAGTGACCGAGGGGGGGAGAAGGGAGGTAGATGGAGCAATAAGATTGATCTTCGGGCTCCAAGTACCTCAGGTTCGGCAGGACCTGAACATGGCACCCGGGCCCCCAGTCCCACCTTCGTTTCGGAGATACGACTGGAGCCCAAACCAGTGACCGAGAAAAGAAAGGAATAGAAAGAGTAGAAAGGAAACACGACATCTTCTGAACCGGAGTTCATGACCATCCAAATGGGCGATTGCCAACTTGGGAAGGCGATGGCCGCAGCCACTCGTTTTCCTCGTGTGCAAGTCACAGACAAGCAGCATTCACTGACAGGGCAGCATGGTCGTTGATAGTATACTTCTCAAGATGGGGCCGGGCATCAGCCAACGTACGTGGTGTTTGTTTCAGCAACAGAATTGCCGTGTTGTTCACCGACGTATTGTTCAACTTAGTTCAACTAGGTAATCCGCTAAGCCGCTAATCTATGTTGATTCACAGCGGCAAGGGCCCAAACCAACATCCTCTCCCAATCTGTTTCAGGTGCCTTGAAGTTTCCCCATCTGCGACCGGCCTTCCTCAAGCCAGCGCTGAATGCACGGCTCAGGAACAATCAAGCCTCGCCCATCCTGACAGAGTCCACAGGTGCCCCATTTTTTGTAGAATGCCATGTGGTCCGTCTCCGATTTGCACTGGACCCTCCTCATACATCCTCATACCTAAAGAATCCTAAAGACATCATCGGTGGAGAGGTCTGTGTTGGAAGGGGTGGAACAGCATTGCATGGCCTAGAAAATCCAACGCCACTTGCTGAGGTTTTGTTGGATGTGTTTTCTTGGAGTCAATTGGATCACCAGGGTATTTCAAATCAAGCCAAAGAACAACAGGTGATGCTACATGAACTGTTAGAAGGACCCTTGGTGTCCCAGCTTTCTGGTGTGTTTTTGGGCCAAACTTTCCTCCTGTCAAAAAGGGTCAGATACTGACAACTGACCAAGTCGTTGGTTTCCTTGTTTGGTTTGTGAGTGTTGCCTCCTACCTCTATTTCAACCATATTATACCTCCACCGCTGGATCTTGCGGAACGAGATGGGTTGGTCGTCTCCCTTCCACACTTACGGGAGGCTTTTTTTGGAGGCGTCCATGGGGAGTGCGGTGCTGAACCCTTTGTTTGCTTACAGCTTCACAATCACCGCGACATGGAAGAAAGATTCATAGTCTTTTTTGTCACAGGTCTTGAAAAGAGTGGACCCTATAGTTTCTGTAACCGACCCACCATGTTCACAAGTTGTAGGAATCCGACAGAACTAGTTCCGATACTATTCAGGTGCCTGTGTATGGTGTTTCACTGCCACATGTCCTGTCTCCTCAGTCTTTCTTTCACCTCACCTTCCGTCCACAGCGAATTCGCTGGGGACACCACCTCCAACCGCTGCGAATTCGCTGCTCGTGCAGGTCGATTCACCTTGGACCTGACGCCCCCGGTGATCACGGTGGTATCCATTGCCTCCATGAGCGAGAACACGCCTCTAGACTGCCAGGTGGGTGACGAGTTCATGGACTGAGAAGTGAAGACGTGACGTTTTTTAGTTTGTTCTATTCTGGGATGAATTGAACATGGCTTGTTTGTTGTTGTATGTTATTGTGTTTGGCACGGTGGACATTCTGCAAGTGGGAGTACACTCCCGCTGTGACATGATGTGTATTTTGGTGAGTACAATCCGTTGTTTGGCAGGGAGGGTGGAATTTCTGAAGCGGGAGACTCACAGCCCTGTGAGTGTTTATGGAGTGAACACATCCGTTTCGATGGTGAGGAATATCATGACGTCATGGCTTCGTCAGTTCCCCGTGACGTGGCGTTTGCGCGCCAACTCTTTTTTTGAAAAGCAGAGTTGGATCACAGTACCCCTGAACCTTGGTTGAAAGGAGATGAATTGCAATTTTTCGCGGCTTTTCCAAGTTCTTTGTTTAGGGTCCAGGGTCTAAAAATGTGTGCTATTCAGTGTAGAAGCCAGCGCGCATGGAACTTGGTGAGGTTTGGACCCAGAAAACATGAGCAGACTGGACTACTATGGTGTCACCTTACCGTGGTTGGACCCACTCCTATCCACTCCTAATTTAATTTGGTAATGGTAATGTAGACTCTTGATTAATACACCCCCCCGAATTGAATTGAACATCATCTTCAAAGGCGGGTTGATTAATCAAGAGTCTACATTACGTCACAAAGGTCTACTATGTTTCCACTTTTGATCGAAGCCTGGTGAAAGACGAAGATTCCTTGCATCAGAACACACATGACATGAGTTCAACCACAACCAGCACAGCGCAGAGCACACAGCACAGAGCACACAGCCAGCCGAACAGAGCCACCTAACAGGGATTCGGACAACCCTGAATCAATATGGAAGGGTTTTGGGGGGATCTCCAAACCGGGGCTGTGTTATGGCCCAGACTCTGCATGGGACTGGCATATGAAACCCTACATTCACCCCTTTTCAACAACCACCCCAAGGTATATACGTTTATATGCCGTCTGGGATTTGGAGTGTCGTTCTGGCCGAAAACCGTTCCACCTGAGGGCCACCGTGACCTTGCAATTGGATGAGTCCGGGGCCCCCGGGCGGTCTGATGGCCACGCAGCGGTTTGATGGCCGTGCGGAGAAAGAGAGGGATGGAGTGGAAGAACGATGGGTCGAGCTGAGACAGTGATTCTCATACCGAGCCCAGTGGATTCCTGCTAAGATAACAATCGTAACAAATATGAACACAACTCATATTTGGACAGATAATAACAAAAAACTCGGCATGTTCATATTAATTCATTCTTTTTTCTGATCAGGAACGGCTGGGGCCTCAAGCTCCAGAGCGTGCTTTGGATTCCTGGATCCTTGGGACGCTCATTTCACTCATCATCCGTTCAGACGCGACCTGTTTGGGACTGACCGAGAGACGGCCCGGGGTGGTAGTCGGGGTCCCATGATGTCGTGTCTCCGGGTCTGACTGGAAGAGGACGTCCATGGACGTCTCCTGACGAGGGGCGAGGGTCACAAAGCAGGCGAACCCATGATGCCATGGTCGTTCTACAGTCTGGCGCCAGGCAGTTTCAGCTGTATGTGAATAGTGGCCTTTCTTGATGGGCTTCTTCTACATAGAGTCTGTTCTCATACCAGCAACCGTGTGCAATGCTTGATGAGCACTCTCCTTCAGAACGGCCTCTACTAATAACAATAGTAGTCGTCCTCCTCCTATTCATCATCATCGTCAGCATCATCCGTTCTACCCATGTAATTTGTTGGGAGTAGTTTCAACATGCTTCAACTCCAATGATTCTGAACTCTTATTTGTTTGAAACCTGTTCCAACCCATGTTACATGCTGTTTTGCCGAATCGATCAACCAACATGCAATACTTCTCAGCAGTTCTTCACAACCCAAGATCTCGGGCGATATTTGGGAGTCTAAAACCTCCAAACAGATCGAGCCGCTCCCGCCATTTCTGCCACACCGAGGCCTGGCACGGCCTGGTGTAGCGCGGTAAGGGATCAGGCCACGCCGCCCAGCATCAACCAGGCCGGACGTGCCGCTCAGCGGCCGCACGGGGCCGGTGCCGCGGTACCGCACCGACGCGCAAGGAGACCACGCGGCGCCGCAACATGCGCGCCACAGTAATGGTTTGCCCAGGGCATCCAGGCAAAGCACTTTTGAGTCGATATGAACTGCTGGGCCAAGGAGACAGTGGGGGTCCCAGGGCATTTAATTACTATAATTAGCTGGTAACCAGTGGTTCCAAAGACTCAAACTACAGATCCTTATATAGTATAGTCATGGTTCCTTATATAATAGTGGTTGGGATCTTTTGAGCTGAGCTTGGTACTGTAGCGGTTGTGGAACTGAAAAGACTGAGCTCGGTACTGTAGCTTCTAAGCTGACGGATGTTTCACCCACCGAGATGCTCAATATTCTCCAGGGAAGGGGGCTATAGTCAACATTAGGATCCGGAGAATTGATGTTGAACGGATGAAGGCCTTTTTTGCCATACAGTTTGACTGACTGACCCTATATTGATTGAAAACATACAACTTCTCATCCCTTTTGGGGGCAACACCTTCCTTTGCAACCAACCTTCGCACCGGCACTCTATGCTACACGGTGCAAGCCATTGCAAACCCGTTGTCTCCGAAGACGGCACGGTGCAAACAGCGCCAGATCATCGCAGCGAGCTTCTCCAACACAGTGAGCACCGCCACGACGGTGCGCGGCGGGAGACTGGGTCTGCGAGGTGGATGACATGCGTCGTGTGGGTCTGCGAGGTGGATGGTGGATGGTTTGTTTTGTTTGTTGGGTTTTGTTTTTTTGGGGTGATGATTTGAGGAAGTCTTGGACGAAGGCCTTGACAAAAGGGGATATGCAGGGATTCAGGGATCCACATAATTAGGGGTCGCCAACAATCCAGGAGGTTGTTTGGTGGCTGTGGACTGTGGATATATAACAATCAGACTGTGGACTGTGGATCTATATAAGATGTTTCAAGGACATTCTCTTGACTCATCTTTACTCAAGCCACTGGAGCCACTGAAACCTCTAAAAAAACATAATTTGAAGAACATGTTTGTTGAACAAAGTGACAGATATATTTTGAGAACTTCAATATCTTCAAGACAAGGCAATAGACTTCAAGATAGCATAGGATAACCCCCCCCACAAAAGTCACTTGCCGCATGTCCCTATTCAATCAATTGGCGCGACATCCTTTTGTCCCGATTTGTTTTTAACGCCGTGCAGAGTACGTCCTTTGCGTTCGAAAAGTGGATAGCCTGAAACACCAAACTTTTGGGAATGAACACCCCACTAATTCAGGATATGCATCCAAAAGTAGCCACAGGCTACAACATCTTATTCGAACATACATCTGTGCGGTATGCTTAAATTGTGAAAATACGTTTGTGCGGATTGCAAAACTGCATATGTTGAGGTTCTTTTGCAGTCCATACAAGGTAGCCAGTCTAGGACACCATTGGTGGCCTTCTTTGATCTTGGCTTTGCATCGTGCTGGGATAAGTGTGTCACTTAGAGAGACCTGATGATCGGGTTTAATACTTTTGAACCCCGGCAGCTACTAGGCATCAAGCAACACATTTAATTATCCTTGGCTTAAACTCAACTTGAATGACTTGAACGGTTCCTCAGTCGTTTCCGCACTTGAAAGAGATCCGACTTGAATGACCTCCTTCGGCCAGCGAACGTCATCACCCACGAAGCACCGTGACATGTGTGGGGACTTCACGGCGCATCAGGGATCGAAAAATCCGCGCCAGGACTTCACGGTGCAAGTGCAGAACCTGCAACGGGATACCGAGTGCCCCTGCAACGGGTCTCTCCAACGCTGGGTTTAGGGGGTTACAGCGCTGGGATGCGTGGGTGGGGTTTAGATGCTGAAGGGGTTACATCCAGGAGATGTCACGGACCATTAATTCATAACCATTCCGATCTTCCGAGACCAGCCTGCAGGCTGAGGGATCCACCCATCGGGGATTGATCGTGCTTTGGTGTCATAATGTTTTGGTGATCGTCCACGGGTGAAGAACAGAGTGAAGACCAAACATATCTAAATAATTACAAATATTTGTTCACCTGACCCGCAGTTGCCTACTTGGCCCACTTGGCCCCCTTTTGCACCACACCAACAATGGAAGACAGAGGGCGTTCTGCTGGTTGTAAGAGTGTGCAACCCTAAGGGATCTGGATGAACTCCCCTAGGGATCTCATGCGAAATCGCAGGTTCCGCGAAGACGGACTACCCACCCTGGACATACACCGAGACCCACATGGATCCGGGCTTGGCATGGATGTGGAAGGAAGACTAGCTTCCTTCACAAACCAGTGATTGTCAGCTTCCAGGATTTATCTTCCAGGACGTTTTAATATGTTTTAATACATATTGTTAATCAAACAAACCAAAGGGACTCCACCAACCAAGGCTGAGTCAAGTCATTGCATTGCATCTATATGTTTTTGCCATGCTGCAGGGGCCCAGAGCAGCTTTTTGACCCATGCTATAGCCATTGGAAATAGTCAGGAAATCAAGCAATCTCGTCTAGGCTCAGTCAACAAGGGCAATTTCTATCCCAACCATGTGCTGGGTTACCCACTATAGACTCCAGAACATCCTGTCTAGACTAGCGTGAAGCGAAGCCCGCATATGAACACTGGAATGGCTGTAATGGCTTAAGACTTGCCGGATGTGTTTTCTTCCACCAAAGTACCCCGCGTACTCGTTCACCGCTGAACTGCAATGTTTGCATAAAAAGGGCCGCGGGCATGGCTTTTGCACAAAGCAAGTCAAGACTTTAAGCTTATCCCTTGGAAGCGCTCACAAGAGTCACGAGTCACAAGAGCAGATATTGAAGGTTTGAGCCATGCAGGGCGCAGACAAATTCTACGATGCCATGCGCGAAGCAAACTTTAAGTGACTCGGTTGCAAAACCCGTTGGTGAGGCGAAAGCCAAATTACAGTGCATTCCTCCAATCTGCAAAGCAGGATCTTGCGGAGCTGCTTTGCAGAGTCTGGTTGAAGTCAAACCATTTAGCATCAGACAGCCAAAGTGTGTTGTTTCACACGGACAAAATTATTGCTTCCTACTGTATAGGCTTGTGTGGAGTTCGCACAGATTCGACTCCGAAGAGTTCTTGCTTTTGAGGTCCAGGTACCAAAGCTTGCTTTGCAAAGCTTGCAACAAGGACAATCCGTGCTCTCCTGATCGGGGTGCAGAATTGTTCCATACACGCGCATGTGTAGAGAGCCATATATTATTATCATTTACTACATGACTGTATGGAACAAAACATACCAAGCAGTAAAACATCAATACCTGTCAATACAAACGGTATACTTAAACAACATCCCTTCCAAAATACACTTTTGTTTCAATCAGGACACTAACAGTACAGGTATTAAAGGGACGCTTGCTGAACAACATGTGAGGGGGTGGGGAATTACAGATTTCCACAAGAATTGCTCATGGATATCGAATAAAATATGATTCACATGTTTCTTGACGTGAAGCAAATTGAACTAGTTTGTCAGTGGTTCTCGTTCTTCTTTGGCTTCGCTGATGTTGCGCTACTTGTGTAGGGCCTCGGAGGCACAGGTTGAGGGCCAAATCTAAAGACAGAAAGCCTGCGCAGCAATTGCTCTACCAGGAGAGTAATACACATGTTACAGCATATTACAACCTTGATCTTCAAGACCGTATTAGGTGCCAGAATCTTCTAGTAGTTGAACATGTCACCCCAGTTCCACCATGAAAACATGGAGATCCTTCACGTGGTGCTTTGTCGCTAATGTCACTTCACACGCCCGGTTCACCAGCTCAAGTCACAAGCTTGCTTCACCGACTCGTCTTTTCGGATGCCGGGGCGGGGGCGTCGTAAGCGCCCGGTCTGCTGCTAGCACCCGTCCTTCATGCGTTCGATGATATATCAGGGTCCTTTGGGTCCTTCTTATGCAGTCCTTTGGGTGCTGGGCGCTCCGTTGGGTCCTCTGGGTATGTGCATGATGGTTGGAGAGTCGCAGGTCTGTGTCGGCTTTAGCCATCACCTTGCGTGCCACTCTATAGGTCCCTTAGAACCTCTTTCGCTGGAGGAGTCGGTCTGGCAGACGGGTCGCTGGTTTCGGAGATGTGGATGTGGCAGACTGGTTTCTGGCCTCGATATTTGTTGTTTGTGAGGCTCTGTTCGACACTTAGCTGGTGGATGCTGCTGGTTTCTTTGTTCGCCACCTCTCAGGAGATACGAGGATACGACTCCATGGATGCGCTGGACATCTTGATCTCCCACTTCACGGGCAATCCGCACCGAAAGAAGGCGCAGCAGACCGGCCCTCGTTTTCCTGCGAAGGACACGCGGAGCGATGCTGAAAGGTTGGCAAAAGGGGACCAAAGAGGGTCAAAGGTTGCCCGGAACTATGAACAACGCCTTGAATAGCGATTTGAAGAGGATGCTTTTGACAAACATATTTGCCAAGTTTTGCGAGGATGAATACTTATACAATATATTTTTAGTTATATAGTATTTTCCCTATTGGTGAATCCCCTTCTGGGGAGTATTTCTTCCTGGTTGTGTTACAAAAAAAACCAAACACGACCTGTTTGGGACTGGCGTATGAAACCCTACGTTGACCCCTGAAATCCACCACCCCTGGCCTTTTGGAGTTTCATATGCCAGTCCCATGTTTCGGGATAGCATGGAAGTATCCAGCGACTCGATTCGTCCTCGCTCGCTGCCGACGCACGCACCGTCGCTGGCACGTCGCACCGTCGGCTCCGATTTCCCTGCTCCTGCATAGGCCAGACAACTAGCTCCTGATGATGAATGGCAGGAGTTCATCTCCCGCGGCGATGAGAAAAGAGTGCCATGACCACGTCGCCGACTCCCCACTCGGCGTCGGTTGGGGGGGGCTCCTTTTCTTGCTTCCAACCAATGAAACCCAAAGAACCAACCCCAATCCCAGACACTCCATGGGACTGGAATATTTGCCGCCCCATTGACCCCTCAAACCAGCCCAATGTAGGTAAATATGCCATACATGGAGCGTCTCGGAATGGACCACAAAGGGTTTGATTCATGTCCCGCCTGAGCGGCTCGATTATGGCATCCTCTAGCTAATGGAGATTGACCAGTGGGGATTACAACGCATCCAGTGTGCACTCCCTAAAATATAGAAGTTGATTAAAAAAGCACCTGTCCTCCGAACTCCGGAGCCGTTTTCCATCCAGGTCCGGGGAACGGGTGAAAATATCTACCATGAGTTTGTGTGAGTTTGTGAAAGAAGGTGTGATAGGTCAAGTCTAGTAAATCTTGGGTCTGTCCTATCACCTGCAACAGTCAGTAAACAAAGACACCACTATTATTTTTAGAGATGTCGGCCTGCTAGGATAGACCCAAAGTAAATCAAGGAAGGGCTGGCTCAGTTCTTGGGAGCCTCTCAGGTTGCAAGGGGGTTCCTCTTTACTTCCCAGTAGTTTTTTGACACACACACATATATATATATATATACGTATATAATGTACGCATGTTTTTTATGAAGCAATGTCATGTCATATCCATGCAGTTGCTCAGAAGCTTTGCGACCCCTGCCAAACCGCTTAAATCAATCTGTCAGAACAACCAGTAGCCCAAATCAAATCAAGCCAAATCTCACATCAATTTACAAAATTACAACTTGGCGAATAAGTTTTGGCCCAGCCTGGTCAACTGGATTTAGTTGGAGATTTGACAAATTAGCCGCCCCCAAATCAAAGCACGAACCTCCCCTAAGAATCCTTGGATCCTTCCATGATTGGATGAAGAAAGCGCCCAGAGTCTTCAGGGTTTTCCTCGTATACGTTTTCCTCGCATCACAGCAAAGGCCTCCTAAACCCATCCCCCACCTGGCATGCTTGGCTAGCGCACTCGTTCGCCGCACTCGTATCAGACCGCACAACGAGGTTTGGCTCAACCATCGCACGGGCGAAGTCTGGAAGGGCCGTCAGTGCCGATACCGGCCATCGGACTGGGAGAGCGGCATGAGGACTGGGATTGGTCGTCGATCGGTGAAACCAAGCTGGGATGGGGTGTTTGTTTTTTGGAACTGATTCAAATTCTTTGGGTGATTTACGGTTCGGACATCGAAACTGCCACAGAGCCCCACCAAAAGATGCAGGATTACATTGCGACATTTTGCTACAACGTACTAATCTCTACAAGGGCTTGTCTCAATATAGGGAGTGAGTCCATGCTAGCTTTAATTTATAGGATGATAATATAAACTGAAACCTATTGGATTGTGTTCTCCCTACAGTATTCCTGTATACCAACACTTGTACCTCTTACTTGTTAACATTTTCCAGCCGGGATGTTAGACTAGTTGGCAAGCTAGTATCGAGTGTTGGCCAGGTTTGTTCGCCTTGACAGATGATTCTATACAGTGTTTCTACATTATAGTCAACCGGTTATTATCCTGTCCAGTTTCTTTGTACTACATACTGCTGCCAGTTGTTTGCCAGGGATGACATACTAGGGCTGCAACAACTTTCTTGCAGCTTCAGCATGCAGTGTGACAATCGGGTATGGGCAAGCCGATCTAACGCCTCCAAGAGACAACAACAATGTGCTCTTGTGGCGAGGACGCTCAATTGGTGGCTCTGGCAAAAGACTTTGAACATGCGGGAGCAAAGAGAAGACAAGCCACTTGTTGTTGTTATTTGTCTGTGTTTCTTGCCCAGGTCCTACGGTGGGAGCTGGAAGCAATGTTGTTGCTCAGTTCATGTGCGATGTACGAACATGTTTGATGGTTCAGTTAGTATGCGATTGGTTTGCCCAGCAGAGTTGCTTCCGATGATGCTGAACACTTTGGTGACAAACATACCAAATTATATAGCTTTCCCAAAGGTTGTTTGTATATTGCTGTTAGGAAGAGCAAGCTTCCGTTGAGTTTGGCTCCCATCGTGTTGGAGTTGCTCCACTTCCCACAGTATGGTTCCGGCCGGTTCGCGGCTTTTGAACATGGTGTCGCACGATGGAATGAAGGGCCCGGCCTTTGACAGATCGCCACTAATGCAAATTCCAGCAGGATATTCATCAGGATATGCAGCTGAGCCATTGCCACATGAAGGGCCGCCCTTTAACAGAGCGCCACTGCAACAATTATACCAGTCGCCAGGATACGCGCGATATGCAGCACATGTGGAGCCAGAAAATCAAGAGGACAAGTTCATGGACAAGGACTATAGTGACTTTGTTGAGGCAGCACAGTTTCGTCACAAAGACTCTTCAGAATCAGAAGAAGCGTGTTGCGGCTCGGAAGATTCTGGCGACCTCTGCGCCGTGAAGTTCCTAAGCAATCCAAAAAACGATACCCAGACTGGGCGCCGGGAATTGACTGAAGAATACTTAGAATATGTCAATGATTTCGCCAAAGCCAATCTTGATGCCGATGCTTACTTCACCGGCTACCTCGCCTTGATGTCGACCTACACCACCCGTGGGTCGTTTTTGCAATCAGTGCTTATCATCCCAATCCTGTTGTTTGCCATCATTGCACAGGGATCCATGATTTGCTTTATGCTATCTGGTATTGATTGGAATGCAGCCAGCTGGTTTACGACCATTCAAGATGTTGTTGGGCAAAAGGTATCCGACAAAATCTCGCCTTGGATATTGTGCCTGGGACTGAGCATTTTCCTCATACAGGTCACTGAAGAACAGAAGCAAGTTACTATTTTTTTGAGGGCTGCTTCCACTTCAATCAAGTCAAAGAGTGTACCACAGCCTGAGACTTGCAAGACTCTTAGATGTTTTGCAGTCATATGTTTAAAGTTTGCCAAGTGCACTATGCCGTTTCTGCTGAGGCTGGCAGGAATGACTGTTATGTGTCGTTCCACAACTAATATGGATGTGATCTTGAACTGCACCGCTTTGACGTTTGTTTTTCAAATTGATGATATTGCCGTGAAAGCGGCTTGCCCACGCTTGACTCATCCTATGCACCATTTCAGAAGTGAATACGTCAAGCATTTTTTGACACCCCGTGTCGAAGACATCGAACACCCTTCAAGTTGGTCAAATGTATGGCAGTCCTTGCGTGTTGTGTTCCTTTGTATAGCTCTTGGTGGGGTATGGGTGTTCAATCGGCATATTGTGAGCCAATGTATTTCGACGTTGCTCGGAGCTTGAGGCTTGAGAGCAGCCGCTTTGTTTGAAGTGATTACCTGATAAGTTCAAGGCATGATGATTCACTGGCAAAGTCCAGGTTAATTAGGTCTTTCAAGGCATGATGATTCACTGCAAAGTCCAGGTTAATTAGGTGTGCGTTTCTTCGACTGTTGATGTATTGTACTGAAATCCTGGCAAAGAGTTCTAAGTTGCCTAAATGTTGCTACACACATTTCTCAGTTGTTGCGTTTGTTGCTCACGTGCTGAGTGTTGGTAGGTTAACCTCTTGTGCTTTGATGTCATGGAGATGTCCCTCCCTTCAATCACGTGTGCAGCCAACCTTGCAGCTGTGCAAAGATGGGAACAGCCCTGAACAGAGGTTTGCAATTCACCATGATGTCGCACTATGACAGGACTTGAGCAAAATGACGTTGTATTGCGAGGCCGATTGTTGCCGCTTTTATTTGTGATCATGCGTTCTGGTTTGGTTTGTTTGCTGCCTTGGTTCTTCTAAGCTTCGCGACTTTACATTTTCCGAGGTTCCAAGGACACAGTTCTGTCGACGCATCCACAGCTGAGGCCTTTGACGCAATTCCAAGGGCCATGGGACAAGGGCGACGGCTCCGCAGATGAGGTCGATACAAGCAACTCGACCGGCAGGGCACGTCTGTGGGTCTCTGGCATCGTTGGCGCGGGGTGCCTCAATTGAGCAACATGCGCAAGTGCTGACATTACTGAACCATACCTTTGACTTCCATCGACTTCCCGTAATTGGTTTCATTTGTTTGTATGTTTCAGTACTGTAGGTTCAAGTTTTCAACATCACTAGAAAACCACCCTGGGCCCTGGAGGGTTTTCATGTTGGTGTCTTTGAGGGTCCAATCATACTGAGCTTCAGTTTAAACACCCCCAGGTCACCCCGTGCGCGTGTGCTCTGAGGTCCACTGGCTTACGATGAGCCCGACGACCCGGCCGCATGGAAGGGTGGCTCGTTGAAGCAACGAGTCGTTGATCTCAAGCATGATCTCTGGGAGGCACCGCGACGTCGGCCTGATGGAGAGATGGGAGACCGAGTGGGCCTGGGTCCCATCTGAACCGCAGGGACTTGGGGTGTTGACTATATATAATTCTCTTCAACCCCCCCCAAACACTAGTAATTACCTGGATTGAGAAATGAATTCTTCTCATGTGAGAAAAAATCATTACTCAATCCATCCGACCCAAGAAGGTTGTGGAGTTATTGGGACGAGGTTTGTGAGCTTCCCGCCCTCGCTTCGGGAGTCCCAAAAACACTCAGCGTCCGGTGGGAGGATCACCGAACCCATGGATTTGCTTCCTCCAGCTGTGAGGTGTTCTATCACACAAACGCGATAGTTATGCAAGCGTGCCAGCAGTGCATTCTTTTGAGAGGCTTCAGCACTTGCCTTTGCTCTGTGGCAAAGAGGATCACAATCCATTCAATTGTAATTCCTCAATGAGTAATTGTGGACATTGGCATTGTTATTATATACCCTGGCAGTCCAGTCGACCATTTTCTAAACGGTCTGACTAGGTGATTAGAAAAGGAACTTCCTGAAGGGTGGTGCCTAAAATAGTCTTTGGACTTCTAGGGTATATATATATAACTATATAATAGTGTCATATGGCAGTTTGTCATTGCAGTCTTTGTTTACCAAGCAGACGAGAGCTCGGGCCCTGATCCGAAGCAAAGCAAAGGTACATACTGGTGTCCTAGGACCTGCAATCTTTGCTTTACATATAATAGTAGTTGTTTTTTCCCAATCGTTCCCAATAGTCTTACAAATGGTTCCCTAAAGGTCCGTGCCGTATACCTTCTCAGGAGGTACGACTGGAGCCTCCTGGCTCCTACATATAAGTCCCTGCCTCCAATCACCCCTTCAAATGGTGGGTCCATTGGGGTGCGTTTCTCCATGGTTCTTCTTTGCTAATTCCCTGCAGGTCAATGACCTCGTTCTACTGGAGTTGGTCATACACAAACACCACTATAAGGCGGCAAGTTTGACCAGGTGTTACTGGATCAGACTGGACTTGTATACAGTATATATATAGAGAACAATATCACTGTTGTTTGCTTTAGTCCTTTCCTGTTACCCCCGCACTGCTGCTGGAACCCGAACGCAGGAGATGGTGGCCAATGACGAAGAATCCCGGGACCTGACAAACTCAGACCTCTTCGACTGGAGAGACCCGGCAGAAAACACACCACTGGAGGGCCCATGGAGCGACGGCGGAACTGGGTGGAGTGGGGGTCCCTCCGACGGCCCGGGTTTGCTGGACGGGTGATGTTTTTTTGCCTATACTATGTACAGATATGTACGGATTTTAAGCCGGGTCCTTAAGCAAATCCAAGAAGATTGTTGTTGGCTTTTGCTGTTTCCACCACTATATACAATAAGAACCATGTGCTGACAAAACGCGATTGTCCCAGTCACGCTTCAACCACATGGACCTTGGAAGGGTCTCAAGAATGTTGAAATTTGAGTTGCAAATGGTTTCCTTTCTTTCTCAACCCCTGGAAGCCTTTGTGAAGGTATGGGTTTAAGAGAACAAGTCCCGGCAGACCTTTGCGATCTATAGAGTTTGACCGAGTGGGAGTTGTCGCAGTCAGGAACATATCTGAAGCAGCTCCAGAAGATGCCACCGGACCTGGCAGATGAAGCAAAGTCCTTCAAAGCAGAGATTCATAGGAGCAAACGTGGGGAAACGAGTCAGATCAAAGTGTGGAAGAACCACCGACCGATCTCCACCAACCGAATGGGGGAAAGGGGGAATGTGGGAGGAACCTTGTCAAAACATCGAGCAAGACTTAGTGCTAATAATTTCTTGTCCAACAACGAGGAAGTCAGCATTGAAGTAGGTGTCGCCCCCCGCTGTTGCAGGAACTATAGGTCCATATGCACTTGTCAGGGCTTGGTAAGCATCCAAGTGATGCCATGCATTTCTACAGAGAGCCTTTGTTGATTTTCGAGTTTGTCAGGGTGTGACGAGCAGGGCATGTGTTCCCAAAGATGCCGGCTAGCAGCGCAAATGAAAGCAGCATGGCATTATGATGACATATTGTGCATTCTTGGCGGTGGTGTGCAATGAGTGACTTGTGTAGCTGGGTCCTGGTTGCAACTGTCAATTGAAATTGGTTTTAACAAAAATCACATGTCGTACTTCTTGACACGTCTTGACATCTAATTTGTGCAAAGACGGTCAGCCCACACAACACAAGAAACATGTCCTTCGCATGGAACATAGTGCAATACTCAGACCATTCATTTATCGCATTTATCATCATTAAACATCACTAAGTTTAAGTCCCAATGATGGTAAATATTTCATACCTTTCCATACATGGATTGTTAGTGCTCTGCACACTCCGATATCATGTTTTCGTCCTCTTAGTTTTGCCTTTCGGCGATGATTTCCACAGCGCTGAAGTGTCAGCCGACACCGACACTCGACGCGCTCGACGGACGTCACCAAGCAAACTCGGCGAGGACAGCCTGGTGCAGCTGGACCAACCGGCCGCAGTTCCATTTCGCCGTGGAAACGAACCGTGTTTTGGCGGCGTTGATAGTGGGAGCCCACCTCTCCAATCAGTTCCAAGCTTGGATCACCAGGTGGGGTTTTACTGTTTGACCTGAATGTAATCACATGTGTCTTGGTTGAAGGAAGAAAACCGTAGCAATAAACATTGGAAACCCTACGACAATTTCACTTCCGTGTTTTGTCATTGTTTTTTTGTTTGAGGTCATATATTGAGAGGTCATGAGAGGTCATGAGAGGTCAGTTGGAGCCAATGACATTGCATCTCAACCAATCAACCACTGTCAGCTTGCCACCTGAGATATGAAACACCTTTGTACATTTACAACATGTTGATCCTCGGTATCCGGGACACTTTCCTTACTATATAGATGTGGCTTTCATAGAACCTTGTATTTAGCCAATGCTGCAGGCATCCGGCCTGGATTCCCAGTCACCGCCTGAGGGTTTTCCTGGAGGCTAGTTCTACTAGACCTTTTTCTTTTCAACCCACACGAACGTCAGTCCTACATAGGACTAGCCCACGGAAACGGTTGAACCATTTCAAAAAGTTGGGGATGTTTTGATGGATGAAAGCACTGCCATGGAGTCTCCACTCGTCGCGGGTTCCGGACGAAGAGCGCGGAAACCACTCACCTCGCCCATGGCGACGTGGACTCGCCTTGAGGCTTCCGAATCCTTGTGAACCAGCCGAGGGGGAGGCGGGTGGAACATCTGCAGACGAAGCGACCTGGCGGTGACGCCAAAGCTGTAGTCATTGTCCCACTTGCTGTTTGCTGGAGGTTTTGTTTTGGTGCCCAAGGGGAGCTTCATAATTTGCAGTTCGAGGCTATGCCATGTACTCTGCATGCAGTCCGCGGTTTTGTCAAACTCTTTCTGAAGGACAATACAGTACTCTTAATGTTTTTTCACGGCGCACTATCATGTGATGCTGAGTTGTTTGTCCACCTCCTTATCGATCGGGCTGTCCCACAGTCATGTGAATGTGTTCTCAATACCAAGGGTTCTTTTAGGCACTTGCATGATTGAGGCAGACCCCCATCTTGACTGACCATCAATTGTACAAAAAAATACACCTCAAACGCCAATTAATCCGCAGCAATCCGCAGGTCAGGCACTCTAATCTACTATGATCATCGGAGGAATTTTCTCGCTATCGGGGCAACTCAGCTGTGCGCGATTGCGCGAGCGTCAGTCCTTCGAGTTTTTGGTTTCGGAGAAGGTTTTCAAGGTGTAACGCCATTCCACATGCTTATGAAATATATGACAAGGACATTTTATCATATGTTCTGTCAGTCATGCATTTTGTGGCATTCAAGAGAATCGCACACCCTTTACAGTGCAGCTCGGACACGAAATGAGGCAACAAGCTTCTCTACAAATGTTAGCCACTGTCAATTCCATGTTCCTGCGCATGTCCCACCTTTTTTTCAAGCAATGCAGCCACAAATAGAAGTGTTTCGAGAGACAAGGAGTGATAAGATCTATAAATACATCCGCACAACAATTGGGGAATGGGCCATCGTAATGTGCGTTCAGTTGGCACGAAGGCAACCACTTTTCGGTGAGGATCTATACGTTTATCGAAATCACTGTGCATGGTTCTTTCTCCCAAACGCTCCATAGGACTTGAACAGTTCCCCATGTTGACTTCCCTGAAATCAACCACCCCAGCTTCCCTGCAAATATCCCAGTCGCATGGACCAGCTGGCGATATATGTTAGACTCGCAGTTGCACATAGCTGAGGAAAGACCCGATGGACGTCGGATTGAGCCCACTCCGAAGGAGCAGGATGTTTGCGCAGCTTTCGGAGGACCCGGAAAGCCGTGCCATTTTTATTGCGGGATTCAGCAGATATACTTCGGGCCGGGGTAGCGCGAACATAAGCCAACTGGATTTCCGTTGGAGGAAGAAGTTTCTTTGGAAGGTACGTGGCGTTTCTGGCAGGGATGTGTTTTTGGGTATTCCTTCGAAGGATGATGCTAATATTGGCGGTTTGAAGGATTTGCAGTACACATCCAGCCGGAACCTCAAGGGCCTTAGGGTTGACCTCGTTTGTAGGGACGATGGCTTTTCTTCGTTTGCTGGAACGTCTTTCCGACGCCGAGCTGGGATCTCCCGACTGGCGGTGACTGGCGATGTATTGGATCCAACCCCATGTCACACGGACTGGCTCGCGCAAACCCGGACGCGCGTGAACCCGAAACTGTCCAGGAAACTGCTTCTTCATGCGGAAGTTGAAGAACAAACTCCTGGATGGCTCCAAATGCTTCTTGTCTTTGGTTTTAAACGAAACAAGGTCACACCTTTTGAACAGCGCAGCGCCGCGCACGCATTGGGGGGGGCCTTGGACCGAACCTGGAAAGTTTCACTCACCGTTGTTCCAAGCATGGATCAACTGCTGCCGGAACATGGGAAGATTAAACTCAGTAAACTGTCAGCTGGAATGTGTTGTTCCTTCAGTGGATTAAGCTTCCTGAAGGCTTCTTAGCCTGTGCGGGCTGGCATCTTGTGCGGCGACCAGGGTCATGCGCTTGAACCTTGCCAAAGTTCAATCCCTGACATTCTGAGATTGCTGTTTGGGGAATGAAGCCAAGATCACACCTTGATATGTTAAGCTGAAGCAAAGGTGTAAAGCAGAAATGATGCCGGTCCTGGAGTCCTTGTGCATAACATTCACAGTCTGAACCTTGAGGTCTAAAACTGGAAGGCACAGTTTGTCCCATGGAAAAGCGCAATGTGTCAACACCGTCTGTCGCTCATGTGAGGGACGCTGACGTTTTGTACTTGTCCCAGAACCCTTTTGGCAACATGTTAACAGATGGATGGTGTACCATATGTTGCCTTAAAGCACTGGACCTCCAGCTCATGTTCACTCCTACAGACAGCTACAGAAGGCTCCAGTCCCAGTCCCTTCATGGGGTGATGAGTGGCCCCAAAGAGGTGGCGAAAAGTAGTGGGTCATCACCGCACGAGTGGTACCACGGGTCACAACACCAAAGAGTGGGGTTTCCCCCAAGCAATGAGTGGAAGAACCCTTCGCCCTGCATAAGGCATGTTTTTTCGCTTCTTTGGTGGCTCTATCATCTATGTTCGGACAACCCCAGCTCGAAGAGCCAGAACACCATGAACAACACGCGCCGGAGAGCGGACGACTTCTGAAGGCCAAGAGCTCTCCTACAGAAACCTAGCAACTTGGAATCTTGATGTCCTCTGAGTACTCAGTGTGTGGTGGGGTGTGATACCACACAAGGCTGGTCGCAAACCAACAGGGTCAGTTTGTAGGTCCACTCACGTGCTCCGTTGCCCTCATTTGGAGACATTGTATGATATATTATGTCATTTTAGCCAGGTGGACCCAGTTCGCCATGGACAGCAAGCTGAACAACAGGGAATTCTGACATGTTCCGACCCTCAGTCTTTTGATTTATGCAGGGCCATAGACATATGATAGCATTAGGGAGAGATTTCCAGCATGACTCTTGATTTAAATGTTCAAAGCCTTTTGTGGAGCATGGACCTGTGTTTCGACGCAGGAAGAGTCCAAGTTGGTGAAGGAAGTTTGCCTCAGTGTGCAGGTGCTCTTCAGGGCTAGGATAGGGATGCTATAGTGGATACTATTGGTTCCCATTCCTTTTAAGCGCTCTAAAAAGCCCACACAGTCAGGCAGAGGAGTGAGATTTCTTTGGAGCTGAGCTCCTCCTTGGCACTAGGAACACATTCAAAGCATGAAATTCTAAGGTCATTTTGTGGCCTAGGCTCCTCGCACAGGACTGCTGAGGAACATTCGATGTAGCTTCAGAGTATCCACACATACTTGGGTCCGATCAGAGCCATCAAAGTCAGCTGACCCAGTGAAAGAGTGAATCTACCATCGACCGGGATCTTTGCAGTGACCTTTTTTGGAGTCCCTAAGTGGCTTTGTGCAGACCTAAGTGACCTCAAACCAGGGGATCCAGGCATGCTTCTTCAGTTCGAGACCTGATCTTGGACGGTCGAAAGTTCCCGAACCAAGCAGAAGAACATCAAGTTCAGTCCAGAAGAGCCAGGAGGGTGCCTTTGGTTTCAAGCTCGAACGAAGGCGAAGCCTCTAAACTGCTCCACCCACAGAGGGTTGGCACCACATCACACCGAGATCGGTGTGATGATCGTAGCGGAACCGCCGCTCGTGCGGCTCCAGGACTTGGACTAGGCTTCCAGGGAAGTACCCTCTGACGAACACATCACATGGAAGTGGAAAACGGAGGCCCTGGAAGACTATACTGTCCTCTACAAACAGGGTATTACCTCTTCCATGTGATGTGTTCGTCAGAGTGTACCTTCTTCTCAAGGAGACGGGAATTGAATCTTCCCAGGTCAGAAGGTTCCTGCGTTTGGACGCCGATTCAGACCTCCTTGAACACGCTCGTCTCTTGGCTCATTTTGAACCGCCTGTGCCTGTTGGAGGATGTTGGAGGTGTTTGACAGTGTGAGGTGGTCAAGGCCAGGAGCCCAGCGATTGATAAACCAAGAATCGTATGGCCGCTTCGTCATTGACTTGGGCAAAACACCTATAGCGTGACCTCGGTTACATTGCCAAGCTGGCAGCTTCAAGCAAGTTGATCAGTACAGGATCGCACAAAACCCTTGATCATTCCATCAATCATTGGGTCGGGCTTGGTCCGACATTCTGTGGCATCAATAGATGGCATTATACTATTATGGTTGGTTGATGAATAGAATTTACAGGGATCTGGAGGGGATATCCCCTGTCGTCTACAACCAATATAAAACTATATATCACCAAATCAACCCCTCTATTACTACCCCCAAATAGGACATCGGTGGCATCCCAAGCGACTTCAGAGGGTCGAACCATAGGTGGATCTTCGTTCATCGACTCGGAAATTGGATGGGAAGATGCCCGAAGAAAGTGTCGGTGTCCCATTACCATGCATTCAGTCGGTAAACACTTATCTATATTTTAAAGAAAGCCTCCGACCTAACCATCATTATCCACTGAATCAGATATACCCAATCCATGTGTATATCAAATTGCAAAAACTTCAGGCAAACACTGTGTTCTTATTCTTACCGGGTCCTACAATATCTATGTGGATCAGCCGCGGTCGAATTAAGAAGCCCTTTTCACGTTGCTAATTTGGGACGGTCAAGTATCACCCTCTTGGAAATGACAATAGGCAGCTTGTGGAGGGAATAAATTCGACTGTGCGAGGCAACATACGCGTCTTGCAGGATTCTACGGGGAACGGGTTGTCAATTTGGAACCTTCAAACAGTCAAACTCCTATCCTAGCGGTGACCATGTCTTCTAAACTTTATGGACCACCCCAGGTCGGTGAGACCGCACCGCGAGTGTGGCCCATCGTGTAGCCCTCCGCTACCAGCAGTCCAAAAACCAGAACGCATGCAAAATATAGGTCTTCACATAAGCCACGCTTTTGATGGAAAACGTGGCGACCAGGTGACAATGATCTGTTGGAATTCGACGAGGCGAGATTGATCTGGAGGCTTTCTCAAGACGAGATGGAGAAGACACTCGGATGCACGGAGAAGCTTCACAGAACTTCACCTTGTACTTTGGCTATTTTTGTTGGGTCCTGGATCGCTCCAACGCCACCCCGCTTGAGCTGTCGAGTTGGCGGAAACGCGCTCAGCCAAGGGATTGGAGGCTCTTCTTGCAAAGTCAAGGGCAGAAACTGGCTCCCTGGCGTCTTGACGACGCCTTTTGGAACTTCGACCAGGCCGCCTGAAGCATCGACACCCTGTGTTCGGCGCGGTGTCGCCGCGCTGTTTAGGGATCTGGTTTTACATCATTCGAAGAATTCCATGGAATTCCATGCGCCCAAGGGTGGTCGGACGCGTTTTTCGTGATGTGAGGAAATGAATCGGCAAACTCTTCACGAAGACATCAGTCTTGCAGTGGAGCAGTTTTCGACGCTTGGCACCTGAGGTTTGGACTGGGATTGCCGATACATGTGCATATGGACTGCGCTCAAAAAGCCCTACTCAATAAATATAGATACACGTAAACTTTTAAGGCTGTAGATGTGTTTTTAAGTTTTCGTTTAGAAGCGGGCCCCCAGCAGAATATGGTGATACAGCAAGGCAGCGCTAGATTGGCGCTAGGTTGGCGCTAGGTTTCTTCATAACAGGATAGCAAGCAGGAAAAAGAAGAAACAAGCAGAGAGCAGGAAACAGAAGAAACAAGACAAGAAAAAAGAAAAGCCAAGAAGAAGAAGAAGAAGAAGAAGAACAAGAACAAGAAGAAGAAGAAGAAGAAGAATGCACAACAAGAAGAAGACAAGCAAGCAGGAAAAATAAGAACCTGACAGGATAAAGAAATTGACGCAGATTTTTGCGCTAGGCTGGCGCTAGCACTGCGCTAGACGACGGTCCATTTCTTGACCATTTGCCCATCCAACATCCAAATCTTTTGAGTCAGCTCTTACGTCCTTCCTACTTATGTCGTTCTGAAGATTTCTGAGAACAAAAAGTGGAAACAACTGCAGGAGTCCAGCAGCAGCAGCAGCAGCAACAGCTCCAGCATCTCAGCAGTCCGCGCTAGACACCTCTCACAGTTTTTGCAGTTCACACGCCTTCATGTTTAACATCCCTGTGGCTTGAGTGTGGTTGAAGTTTAAAGGAGACTTAGAAGCGGCCCCCCATGGAATTGCGACGAGTGCACCATTTTGGGAAAAGACATTTTGGAAACCAACCATATATGTTTGGGGGAATCGATGCAGCCAAGGCCTTTAGGCCATGCAGAAGGTTTCAGAAGAGCTGCGCAAACGATTTGGAGGGTGGAATGGAGCCCATTATAGGGTCACTGTGTTTGAGGGTGCTTTTGTTTTGAAGCCTAGGACCATACACTGACACTAGGTGGGCCTGCCCCAAGCAAATGCGGGCTGTGAACTGGGAATAAACATGAATAAACAAAAAGTTACCGCAAGCGCCCCCAAAGTTGATTTTGTTGTGGGCCACAGAAATGGGGACTTCTGGAGCGATATTGTGGGTTGATGCAACGGTGCATTCGTCGACACGGTGTTCAAGCGGGCGGAGCAGTTCAGCAGAAAAGAGTTTGCACGTGGTCAACCTACAATCGCAAAGACTTGGCCTGGTTCTTAGAAGTTCTTACAAGTGACCGAACTGAATCCCCTGGCTTGTCGGGGCACTTAGGTCTGTAAAAAGGTCACAACAAGGACTCCAAGGAGGTTGGAAGCTGAAGAAGCTACGACAGTTGCATGATTGTCATGATCTATACATATATATTTGGTTGTCGATCTAAAGGTCCTAGTCAGCAGTGTGTATGACGATGACCCGGAACATATCAAAATCTCATTTGGCGAAAGTTTTTCTCGAGTTGGCGAAAGTAATTTTTTTTGGCGAAAGATCTGGCGAAAGATTAAATATGTACTTTTGTATGAATGGTCATTTGCTTTCTGAACAGCTGGTGGCAGTGACAAAGAAGCTAGATGAGCTGTGGAAGTTAGATAACCTGCTGCTGCTGCGGCTGCTACTACTACTACTACTACTACTACTACGACTACCACTACCACTACCACTACCACTACCACTACTACTACTACTACTACCACTACCACTACGACTACTACTACTACTACTCCTACTACTACTACTACTACTACTATTCCTGCTCCTGCTTTGGGGGGTGGCTTTGCCACAAGACTCTACCCCGCAAAAGGCAAAAGTTTGGCGAAAGTTCAGCTCAAGATTGGCGAAAGTTCACCCTGCCACATCTGACCCCCAGCCCATTATGAGTAAGTTTGAGTGACCGGCTACTACAGTGATTCTTGCAATTTTGATTCTTGCTGACACCCAGGAGAAACAAAAGAGACGTACAGGGAGTCAACAGTTAAGTAGAAGACACATGCTGACAAACAGTGAAGTTTCTATTTTGTGCTTGCCAGTAAAGAAGAAGCCATTGACGTGAACAAAACACAACATACATGGCACACATAAATACAACGTACTTCGGCGAAAGATAAAACGCAGGAAGGCAAAAATTTGGCGAAAATATTTTTTTTGCGAAAATGACGGATCCCGGATAAAGGAATTTAGATCAACTCCCATATAATAGTTATATAATGTTATAAACCACCATAGAGTGTCTTGACAGGAGTCATGTTTCAGTGACGGGGGCCCAGTGTTGTCAGCATGCCGCCCTGTTCAATCCACATCAACCGTCAGAAGCTGACAACCAATGTAGGGAACCGTTTTGAAGTTCTTTCAGCAACAAACCTAGACTACATAAGTATCAGTTTAAACAACCAAAACATCAAGGCAGTACAGTCTTTTCATGTTACAAGACCAGTGCATGGTTTCAAGTTTAGACAAGACTCAGACCCGACTTTTTGGATGTTTTCTACCAACACAATATGCACTGGTCTCAAAGAAGCAACCACCCCGACTCCGAAGACAAAGCAGCGCGCTCGGGCGGAGCGGAATGTCGATCGAAGGAAGCAGCAAGACCACCAGCGCTGGCAAGAGTGCTGCCGGCAGATCAATCGATGTGATAGGTGCCGCGTGTGGGCGTTGCGACCAGTGGCGTGTGGCAGTTGCGACCTACACCAGACATCGGATTGGAAGGGTGTGTAAGCCTGTTCTGTTGGGCTGTGTAAGCCTTTGGTTCCATCAGTCACTGTATAGGTTGATCCTTTGTTCCACAGGAACTGCCACTAGGAGCTACAGGTGGCTGCAAGATTGCTGCCGGTGGTACAAGCAGCTACAATACCATCCGTACCATCATCATTTGTTCCACTCAGGTTCTTCAGAACCTCCTTGACGGGACCCTCATTCGACAGTCACACTCGACCCAGGGATCAACTGTCGCCGACTGGCTCCATGGGAGCCAACAGGTGTCGACGGGACTTCTATCGCGTCTTGGAAGCTGAAACGCACAAAGACGCATTCAGAGAGGTGGGATCGCCCAGCAGGATTATTGTGGGAATGGGTGAGATCGGACAAAACAGTTGTTCCCACCCTGCAGGTCAATGACCTCATATCATTGGACGTGGTCTTACTTCAGGACGTAAAAGGGCAGGTTTGGACCTGGGTCAGGCTGGACTTGTAGGGCCATGTTTCATTTACAAGCTTCTTGAGGTTTGCCTCTACAGGAGCGAGGAGCCTCCCATTCCTTTCGGTGGCAAATATGGCGGAGAAAGGGGGATGTTGGATGTGTTTCGAGGCGGTTTCAATCATTCGTTATGGGTTGCTCCTTTTGTTCACAATTAAACATTATCTCGTCGTTCTTGTGTTGTTTTATGCAAGTCACTAGATTCCTTGATGATGATACAGCGGGCTTAGATCGCACCTCTTGTCACCAGCGAGCACAATCACTGGTGTTCCCGTGCAGGTCCAATGGCATTTTTGGCACGGCGCCAGCATGCTCAAGGTTTCAGAGAGCCTTGGGCTTAACGGGACCAAGGGTGAGTTGGTGGAGGCAGAAAGATCAACGCAGTTTGGCTGTCCAAATGGATTCCAGTCGGGCAAAAGGTCAATCAATGTACGGATGCGACTGGCACAGTTTGGCATCGAGAGGGACCTTGTGTTGGGTAGGGAATGCCAGTTAATGGTCTTGATGTTTACTTCCTGCCCGAAGGCAATAGCCAACGTGGGCTGTGATTGCTGCAGCGCTTTGAGAGAAGCAACTTCTTTTGAGAGAAGCAAATCACCTGCTTTCAGTTAGGCCTGGTTACTCCCCTGTTATTTGGACCATATGGAACCCCTTTCAACCTCCGGCTTGGTGTTCGGAAGATGGTCGATACCACGGGTGAATTCTCAGGTTGCGTCCGGACCGCACGGGGTTTGGCGATGGGTGGAGCGCCACGCAGCTCAGGATTTACTATACACACGACACCATCAACAGTGCCTGGGCAGTATTTTCCTAGAACCTGAGTGACCTCTATTTTGAACCAACTACCCAAAATATGGTCTTTTCCTATCAATATAGGGGTCAAATGGGTTCTAGGTTGTATCACATTTTGTAATTGTGTAGTTGTCTCATGTTGTGTCCATTCATACAAAACAGATAATTACATCAGATTCAAACATGTTCAAACCCCTCCAAAGCATCCAAGATTCTGGTGTAGACGAGATATGATGCTCGTATTCTAAATATGTTGCATGTCCTCTTTTGGAGTGGCTTTTACCCCGTTATCATTGACCCACCCGCCAGAGGGTAAACTCAGTGAACCCATCAGGTCGTTTTAAGGATCATCGATGGACGCTAGAAGATACAGTTCATCAGCTCCAGACGCACCAAGTGCGCGTTCAGGACCTGTTGTTCTCGCCGTGGCGCGCGCGCCGTTGCTTGCGGGAGATCGCTCCGCGAGATCGCTCCGCCACAGCGGCTCGGAGCATCGTGGTGACCTTCAAAGTGCCAACCACAGAAGGATTACATGCACTGAATATTTACACCTGACACTTCCCCCAAGTAGTCCCATGCAGGTGGTTTGGAGGTGTTTGGAAGGTAGTCACCCAGCTCTCAGTTGTCGCGCAGTAGTCGTTCTGTCGGGTGGCTCCTGTCAGACTAGCTTAAGCTGTCAAGCTAAATATACAGCGCACGCTCCTCCTGAAACACCAAACCCTCGAAAGAGCTGCTGTGGCATTTGTGGAAGTATGTGAAGATGCAAAAACCTACCCAGTCAGTGGATAACCTTTAACTTTTTGTTGTTGTTTCCACTAGATATGAACAGATGGACAAAGTTAAGCATCTTCGTCAAAAGAGACTGAGGGAGTCAGGAAGTATATGAAGATGCACTATTTATACATAGTATAGAGACAAGAACACTAGGTTTTACTATATTCCAAGTGGTTTTAAAACCACTGGCCTTGTTTCTACTAGGTTTTCCCCGTGGTTTTACCATATTCCAACTCTTGGTCCAATCACGTTCTGTCTATTGAGACCAAGAACCTCAGGGTAAAGACTTGGCCTTTGGGCAACGCAGTTCCCAGTAACCAAACTTGGCAAGACAGGTTCCCTGATGCTGTATGGCTGTGAGTCAAAATCAGACGGACGGAGTAACCCGATGTTTTGTGTGTGCGTGGAACTGGAAATTCTGTAGACATGCAGTCATTGTCCTTATTATTATAGAATGTCGAGCTGGACTTCTAAAGAAGCAGCATCATTGATCATGCTCTGATCATTTGCAAATCACACGATCGGCCCAGCATATCTTCTTATTCGCAGGACATTCCAGCCCTTCAAGTGATGTACTACCATGGGCGGTATTTCTCGATCGACAACCGCAGATTGTCACTCGGCGACTAACCGCTGACAACGCAACGCCTCAAGAGATCGGTTGTTCTCTATCACATCAAATAGGGAACTTTTCGCCTAACTTGTGATGTCGGCGACACTCACACACACATGTATATACCTTAAGCACCAAAACCTGTTATTTTAAAGGGGTGAACACAAGAACATCGGGTTTTCATACGCATTCTGAAATACAAAGGGTTTTGTCAAAGAACATTGGGTTTTCCAAGAACCATTTATATTTGACATTCTAAAAGGCTTTTGTTGATGAATAAATCATTGAATGGGCTTCTGTTTGTGCCCAATTCAATTCCTCCACTCGGCTCTAAGGAGTGAATATGTCTGCTCTCACTGTACAGTGGTGAAGAACATCACCAAAGATCTTGACACCTGAGACATACCGTGATGCAAAAACAACGGGTATATTTCACACCCGTGCCAAACCCGTGCCATACACGTACTTTACCCGGACTAACCCGTACCGTTCAACAAATACCTTGGGTATTTGAAAAAAACATAATGTTTTTGCAATCCGTGCCAAACCGTATTTTACCCGTACTACTAATCTGTACTTTTTTAAATGGTGTTTTTTTGATCCTTCCCATGGTACATGTTTTCAAGGATTTACTTAACCGTTTTGCATGTTTGTTGGTTTATACACACCTGAAGACACGATCATGTTTGTTGCTTATATTTTGGGAGGCCTTCCGATGGGTTCAAGCTTGAGAAATTCAGTAGCACATAGTCTGAATTCATGATTTGATGTGAGTGGAATGGTGAGACAGGATGACAAAGGGGTCAGTGAAACATCCTGAAAACATTGTATTCAAAAACATCGGGTTTTCATAAGAACATTGTATTTTTTGTTACTGACCCCTTTTAAATAACGGTTCTGGTTGCTTAAGGTATATATATATATTGTTATAAATCCCAGACACTCCATGGGGATTGGCCAAGAAGGAGCTTGGTGATCATGGAGTTTCTGGGGAGTTCAAGCGCATGGGTAAACGGTTGTATATAGTCTATAGTCTATGTGATTGTTGGGTTGCGGTAGAGAGGCCATGAGGGCGGTTTTGGTTTGTGCAACAACTATAGTAAAATTGTTTACCCAGGGCATCCAGGCAAACCACGATGTCGCCGGTAACCAGTTGGTTCCAAAGACCAAAACCATAGACCGAACGAATCCCTGGTTCCTTAATGTTCCTTATATAGTGATAACTGGATGCACTGGGTTAGATAATATTTCAAGATTTGATACCATGTCCACAATTGATACTCAACATGATAGGTCACACTAGAGCCTCAGGCGGACAAAGGGCCGAGCAAACACGCAGGCACCGGAAGCAATCTAGAAGAATGTAGCTAATGTAGGAATAGGTATCCTTGTTAACTTGTTGACACAACTTCCGGTTGCAATAAGGCCCCAGAGATGGTCAAGACGGGGCTATTTGTAAATTCGAAGCTATCCCAAGTATTTCCCAACCAAGTCCTATATACCAGGAGTCACAAAGGAGTGGTTTTTGGTCCCCTTACGTGAGTGGATGTGACAGGGGCACCCCTAACCTCCATGGATCGCACCCCGTCTTGTGACTGCAGGTATAGGGTCTATTCATGTCTATTCTCTTTTGGCGGCGAAGAATGGGGATGGACATGGTGACACGAGTTCCCCGCACCGTGTGCCTTGGGCGGTTTCTCAGATGAGAACAAACAACCCCCGGTTGGTCCCTGCAAAAAGAATCAACAAACTATGGAGGCACCCCTGCAATTCAGGAGTCCGTACTTCATTGGGCCAATGAGACTTGGGGCAATGGACTCAATGGACACAGGAAAACTAGAACCTGAAGCCCTGAACACTTGGCTCACTCAAGTGCTTCAGCCTCCATTCGGGCTCGCCCACCCGGTGCCAGGTGGTGCTTCAAGAAATTCGCCGAGTGGAGCGGCGCGGAGCTCTGGATCCCGGTGCAGGTCCACTGCATCGCGGGTCCTGGAAAGATCTTGCAGCCGCTTGGCGCCATGGTCATAGCTTGGATTCGTTTCCCCAATAGTTGTGAGAGTGACCACAAAAAAGGAGCACGAACAGTAGCACGCCCAAACCCTGAAAAACATGAGAGACCTCATTTCGTTTGCAGCCGCCTTGTTTGTCATGGCGTGCTTGGTTGGTTGAGAAGTTCCCTCTCACGAAACAAGATGATGGGTTCTTCACAAAATGTTCAGCTTGGCCTGGAAAGCAAGAGGTCTTATGTCTTTACATCACACATATTCAGCCTTTTTTGTGGCTCCAAAACATGTCCAAGGAACATGCAACCAGACAACTCAGATTTGCCCCATTTTCCATCATGTTCCACTCCAGTCCGCGCCCATATTTTGCGCGGATTTCGGCTAAAACTCTGTTTTTTGGTGGCAAAAGCTGTGGATGCAACAACTAAGGAGTGGGCCAAAGCATCGTAACTTTTTAATGAAGTTCTTCGATGCATTCTCCACAAGGCCAGCCCCGGAGCGAAGCGAATCACTCGGCAGCGATGTGGAGATTGTGGGGGATTGAAACATACATGAGAACATGTGAAAAAGAAACGCCATTGAGGAGTTTCAAGAAAAGGGACCAATATGGAACGATCTAGGAATCCAACCGCTTGTGTTTTGTTCCTTCATGTGCGCAATGCAGATTACAGCTATTGATGCACAAACAGCGGCTGAGGCATAGCCACAGGCTCTACATTCACTCGCCAGACAGCAATGAAATTGGGATTCAGTGTGGAGCAAGATAATTTCCCGCAAATCATTGTTCCCCTGTTTTTTGCATGTCACCAGGTTCTGTGGACCACCGAATTCCAGATTGGAGCTCGGAGTGGTTATTGCAATGTTACATAATGGTGATAATAGGGTGCAATGAGAGCATAGCATTGGTCAAGACATTCCACAATGCCTTTTTGCTGTTAAGATCTTTTAAGTTGCGGTCGTTCCAGGAAGAACTGTAGTAGCCTTTGGGGTGGGAGAGCCTTTGTTGGTGCTTGCGAAGTTTTGTGCAATCCACTGCGCAAGATACCCTGTGACTTGACGCAAAGTCATGGTTGATAGCCTGCTCAACTGGTTCTCAAATGATGGGAGCTGTGAGGTGTTCCTTTGTATTCGTGACTGCACTCTTGATTTGACGTGCTGCGTATTCGTCATAGGTGCAATGGGGAGTATGTCGAGTTTTTCTCTCGACGCCGAACCTGAGCAGAGAGCGCACTACGGCTGAAGGACTTGGAATGATATACCTTTTTGACCATATGGTAGGTAGGGTAGTACAGTAGGTAGGGTGTGACAAGAAAACTCGAAACTGGGAACTCCAACTCGGATGGGGCAGTGATCACTCAGATTGGGACTTGCAGAGAGCGGGGTGAACTCAGAGTTCTGAACGAATTTCCCTCCGACAGTCCCTCCGCCGTGCGGCCGACCTGCGACGGGCTGCGACGGGTGACGATGATCGCCTTGCAGCGTTAAGAAGCCGCGCTATGCTTGACTGCTCTAAGTCGTGGCGTCTGCAGTCAACTTTGTCACACTTTGTTGACAGGGCGCCTGAAAAGGTCAAACACCTTTTTAGTTGTTTTTGTTTGTAATCCGAACCCACATGATTATTCAAGGAACCTGAAGCAGATCAGACACTTTATTCCCAAGGGTGACTTGGGCAGTCATCAGGGCGCTTTTTCGTGCACTCTTGGCTCATTGCTTCCAACACAAACGACTCACTAACATGGAAGTTCTTCCTTTTCCACATTGTTGTGTCGGAACGTAAAGTTGTTCCTCCATCCAAATCAACTTGCGCCGAGAGTTCAAAGATCTGTTCATCTGAGTTCCGCTGAGGGTCAGCTTGGCAAAGACAAGCAGATAGAGCTGCCCCAGAGACCGTAATATGTTACAACATGTTACAAACAATGGATGTTCAATGATGACACGTCTTCCAACGGGAACAATCCCAAAACGTAGGAACAGGGTGTGTTTGACATGTTCCATCTACACTCGATGATAACAGCTGAGGATAGCTGAGGTATTGATATTCAGGCGCTTGTCACTTGCTGTCCAATAGTCGCCTGTGTGAAGAGATTCCGACGAGAGCTGCAAGAGGTAGAGATCTGGGCGACCTGCCTGAACCATGGCGATGGCCCTTAAGAACGAAAGCGGACATGGAGAATGGAGAACACACTTGTGACCATTACTATATATACATTTACACAGCAGCCAATCCATGTCCCTGCTGCTAAAGATGGTAAGTTGAAAGCAGATCTACACCAACGATACCAATGACTGAATACAAACTGGTTTGATTTTCATGCAGCTATTGTACGTGGGATTTCATGTGTTGTGTGTCACCTCACGTTGGCATGTGCAGCATGGCCGGGTCAACGATCACAGCGGCAAGGCTCAGTGCCCTGCAGAGGTTCAAGCATCATTGAGGAAGCATGTGATGAATTTGAGAGGTTCGTTGGGAAAGAGGTAGAAGATCTTCAAAGCAAGGGAACCCGGTCAATGCTCTTCAATCAAATTTGACATGAATTGACCTTTTGCATCCTGGAAAACACTCTGACACTCTGAACCAGAACAGCAACTTGAAAAGTTCTCATCTGGAGCATGAAATGGAACTTCTTTTGGATCCCTTAATCGAAACCTGAACGGATCAAGGTCGGATTCACTCCCAGTCTTTTGGGGCCCCTGAATCACGTTGTGTCCGCCAAGCATGGCGGCCAAGAAGCAGAAGCTGGAGAATGGAAGCGCAGGCGAGGTATGGGGAGCTCGATCAGATGGACGAAGGAACACTTCAATCAGTTGGATCAGTGAGGACAATGGCAAAAGACTTGGTAGTAGTTGTTGTATAGGATTGTTATAAAGACAATGACAATGGATCAATGGATTGCTAGTAGTTGTTATACGTTTCTTTTGACCCAGACGACCCATGTATCATGTAACTAAATATGACCTACATTCACCACCCAAAAACCACCGGCCATAGGACTGCGCCACCATGGATCATTTGGGTTATGCTGGGTCACGTGTGTGTTTTCCCTGAGGAAGTTTACTTTTCCACCAGAAGTGAAAGACTGTGTGTTTCCATGACATACGATGTACGACCTGACGCCTTTTTTCCGACTGACCTACATCGAATCAGCCACCGACATCACATCATCGCAATTTTGCCAACAACAAACATCTCATGGCAAAGACGACTCAAAAAACATCTCCTGCTCCTGGACCCACAAGGGGCTGGTTGATGGACACCCCTTGACCTCGAAAAGGGGGCTATGAATGGACACCCGGAATCCGTGGTGCTGGCTTATACCAATCCCTCTCAAACCTTCCACCCGGCTTGGCCGGCTCTTCAGCCCGGCCGACCCGTCCAGGCCGCCCGCCGATGGTCACCGGAGGGACCGAGACTTGGCGGAGTCAGTGGAGCGGTGGCGGCGTCAGTGCCAAAGGAGCTCCGAAGTCTTGGAGTGCACTGGCAAGAGTTGGAACCTCAATCCCCAGGTGTCTGGAGTTGGAACCTTTTTTTCAGTCTTTGGAGTCTCTTCCAGTTCCAACTCTTCCAGTTCCAACTCTTCCAGTCTCTTTTTCAGTGCCTAAGTTCCAACTCTTCCAGTCTTTGGAGTTGGAACCTACCTCAATCCCCCACCTCAGTGCTCAGCTGTGGACGACGTGGGTGACGGCATGCATGGGTCGGGTCTGGGGAAAGCACACGGCAAGGGAAGAAGAACACATATACACGCTTCTTTAGTTCGTGACCTCTTTGGAGTGCCTGCCTAAGAGACCTTTTGTTTGTCGGCCCTCGGCCCTTTGGTGACCTCTAACAGGGACATCAAGTTAGGTCACTTTGAAGAACCAGGTGGTTGCAGGGTTACTACAGTTTTGAATTGGGGGAGGGTCACTCTTAATCCTCCCCCTGTCTTTTGACAGCCTTCGTTTTGGAATCCTTTTCGGACCCCTCAAGCTGTTGGCTCAAGCTGACTCCTCTTGCTTCTGACATCTGAAGGATGCAGGTTACGGCTTTGTCCGGCGCCACCGTTGCGCAGCTGGATGAGGATGAGTTGCGTGGCATGGAGGAAAGTGGGAAATCCATTCGGGATCTAAAGAAGCTCCTTTCAGCTCAGCTTGGGTGCTCCAGGTTTCAGCAAAGACTCTTGAGTGACGAACTTGGAGAACTGCAGGACGACATGCCCTTAAGACCACTGCCTAGTGTGCGGCTGGCCATCCTGCCTCTATGCGCCTATGATGAGATCATGGAGGAAGAACTGCTTCGCCGCTGTGAGGGCAATGAGGTGGGTGAGGTTGAACGATTGCTTCAAAGACCTCAAGATCCAAACCGGCGAGGATTGTTCCTTGCAGCCGCGAATGGCCACTTGGACGTCGTGCGCTTGCTGCTGGAGGCTGGAGCTGACAAGGATGTAGCAAATGCAAATGGGGCAACGGCTTTGATCATTGCAGCTGAGAGCGGCCACTTGGAAGTTGTGCGATTTCTCCTTGAGGCTGGAGCCAGCAAAGATGTAACAAACATGAATGTGGCAACAGCATTGATCATTGCAGCTGAGAGCAGCCACTTTGAAGTTGTACAGTTGTTGCTCGACGCTGGAGCTGACAAAGAGGTAGCAAACACAAATGGGGCTACGGCTTTGATGATTGGAGCTGAGAGCGGCCACTTGGAAGTTGTGCGATCGTTGCTCGAAGCTGGAGCTAACAAAGATACAACAAATACTGTGGGGGCAACTGCTTTGATAATGGCAGCTGAGAGTGGCCACTTGGAAGTTGTGCGACTGTTGCTGGAGGCAGGAGCTGACAAAGATGTAGCAAACACATATGGCGCAACGGCTTTGATGATTGCA